CCGGAGTTAAACCACGACACCCACTGCACCTTTTCTCAGCCTCCCTCACAAAGATTCCAGCTCCCAGAGGGATGCTAAGCTGACGTGTTTTGTCGGCAGCAAACCAGTCACAGAGAGCGCAAAGAGCTTACCAATATTGACAGAGTCCTCCCAGTCTTCCAACACTTCCGTGACGATAAGTACGTAAACATACGTCCTGTGTTTCCTGTCCCGATTCTAGAAGGCAAAGAGAACGGAATAAAGGTACCGAAGGAGAAAAGGCAGGTGCACACACGGCACAAAAACATTCACTGCTACACTGGCTTGTCACTCATGATTGCAACTGGAGTGGAAATTACTCATGATCGAGATCACTGGAAGGATCAGCAGGTGTTTTTATTTTAATGAGATTTAGGTTTTCATAGAATCACAGACTGGTTTGGGTTGGAAGGGACCTTGAAGACCATCTAGTTCCAAGCCCCTGCCATGGGCAGGGACACCTTCCACTAGACCAGGTTACTCCAAGCCTCATCCAGCCTGGCCTTGGACACTCCCAGGGATGGGGCATCCACAGCTTCTCTGGGCAACCTGTCCCAGTGCCTCACCACCCTCTTCAGGAAGAGTTTCCTCCTGATGTCCAATATAAAACTCCCCACTTTCCATTTAAACCCGTTATCCTTGTCCTGTCACTACAGGCCCTTGTAAAAAGTCCCCCCCAGCTTCCTTGTAGCCCTTCAGGTACTGGAAGGCTAGCTAGTTTAATTCACAGCAGTCAAAGAAGTGATTTTTGACTCCAAGGCAATCTTTTTGCATCAAAATTTCCCATCCTCGGTGTCTGAAACTTACCTCAAAAATTCCCACTAATCTTCCTAGCGTCCCTTTCACTCCAGCCTATGGAAAATCCAAAGAGAAAAACACCACGCTTTAGCAACAGGTCAGTACATATTTCCGTATGCGTTGCACGGGAGCATTTCCTGTAGAGCAGGAAGCAAATGCTGTAAAATCCTGTTAATCCCAAACCAACGCGGTCACAAGAAAATCGACATAGATGTACCCCGAGCTCTAACCACCTGTGTACTCCCAGGATTTTTTTTTTCTGCCTTTTCTATATTCAAACCATTCAGGATTCAATCTGGAGAGGGAAAAAAAATAATTGATGAGTAACTAATTGCATAACAACATCCCCCAAATGACGAGAATCTCCCCTAAAGGTTATTACAGTCTAAGCACGGATAAAATTTGCTGTGGGGTTTAGCAGTTTTACCTCTTTCAAGTTATTTTCTTACGGTATAAAGTGTGTAATACAGACATCCACTTACACCATCAAAGCAGCATGACAGCTCCCGGGTACTTCAGGGATGCCCTGCATACATCAGAAACGAGCTGATCTAAACGTTAAATCCTTCCAGTCTTGCACAGTGGCCTCCGAGGTGGGAACAAGACCCATACAAGACACAGCGCGGACGCGCACTGGACCACAACTTTCGAATCAAGGGAAGAGCTACGCAACAGTTTTGTTCTCTGACGCTACTGAGGATCCCCCAATAACTTACATTCCCTTCTTTTTACAACTGTAAATGCTTGGAACTCAAGTGCTGCAGACAAGATGGGATTTTGCTCTGGGAGTTGACTGGCCTGGAATACCACACACGATCTGGCAGACAACCCAGCCACCTTGGGATGTAAATCCGGCTGTCGTCTCCGGCAGCTGGAACACATCCTGAGCAGTTCAAGAAAACAGTGCCTTGACTCTTGCAGAGGAGATCTAGAGATCTGATTAGGTCAGGCTTCTTTAAAAAAAAATAAATGTTGGGGTGAGTATATTGAATGACGAGAGAAATTCTCTGTCCTGAGCGCCGAGATACACTACTTCCCACTTCTACGGCCACTAACCAGCTGCTGTGCAGTGATATGCTTTTAGGAAGGAAGAACTGGGATTAATTAAAGGTTTTCCCTGGTTAAGTGCCCAGCCTACTGAATGAACACACAGAGATACCGAACAATACAGCCAGAGCACCTCGCCAGCTGATGGTAGAACCACCCAGGAGAAAAGGATTTGTAGCTCCTCCTACTACAAGCATTCACAGAAATCTGTAATCCGTTCTGTAACATGCTCCCTGACCTCTACTCCTAGGAAGGAGCTTTTCAACCGAGTCTTTCATGTTGGTTTTTTGGATGCAAAATTTATTGTCTCATCAGTATTTCTGACATTCTGCTCAGCCCATCGGTGGCCACCAACGATCACCCACAGGGCTATTTCTGGAGTCCAAGAGCAATTCCGTGAAGGTCAACGTACGCGTGTGCGCGCACACCAACGCGGCCACGACGGGTAACCGGTCCTGACCTTTGCGGGTGAGTGGTTGTACCTCATCCGCAGAACTGCTGCTGCCAACCTGGACTGATCGCTCTCAGAAGTGAACTGGAAGGCAAATAATTCAAGTGAATTTCATTCAGAGAATTCCTTCAGCAGCCTCCAACGTCGGGCTTTTTTTGTTGGATAACCGTATCAACCAGCCAGCAATAACGGAGAGGAACAACACAAGGCTTCCACATCACAACATACACCCATAAATACAGGAAAAGGTGAATTACAGAATCGAATGTTTCAGGTAACTGAAGCCAAATTGCTTCACTTGTTCCTGGAGAAGGCTGCTGAATTTCTGCTCTCCCTACTTGCCTGCAGAGGCGCCGATTCAAAAGCCAAGGATGATGTTGTGATGGTTTAGCAGACTCTCAAGCCTGACTAGAAACACATTTATCTCCAGGCAACTAGCCAGCCTGGAGACTAAGCGTGAATACAGCACAACCAACCTCCCAAGCAGTTTGTTCCCAGCTCTAAAACTGTGCTTGAAGTAACACAGGCAGGTGAGGAGCCCTTCCTTCTGTTCTGGTTAAACAGGGAGGCGACGGAAATAACGCTCTGCCTGCAAACTAAGACCATCCTTCTCCATTCTGCCTACTCTTCTTCACCCCAAAAGCCACAAAAAGCGATGCCAAGACAAACACGTGCTGTTGGAAATGCTGAATTATCATTAGACAACCCAAAAAAGCGCTAAGGTTTCCTTCATGTATGAATTTACCACATGTAAGTGGTGCCAGAAATTAATGGATTGATTCAAACAACTACTGGGCTGATTTTTTATAAAGAGAGTCCTTACCAGAGACTGCAGAGCACAGCAATCACTGCATCCTATGGTGCTCTCATCCTGTTTAACTGGATTTTGGAGACAAGACATAGGACAGTAACACAGACCCACTGGATTACTCTACACCTATTTTTGATAAAGCACGAACAGGAAAAGCACAAACAGGAAAGTCATCGTTTCCGTACAATCACATACTTCGCTTCAGGGAACAAACATGGAACAGGAATTCACAATCTCACACAAGTTTCTAACATAGAAGTTGCCTAAGAGATCCGAGAAAATAATCTGTAGCTGTTACCACTAACAAAGCAAGCTAGATAACAAGAAACAAACCTCCAGGATCCTCTTTGGGGCAGCTCCATACCTCTCGCCTTCCCACGGGCCAACCCCTCAGCACCTTCCCCACTCATCTTCACCGCAGGACAATGAGCGTTTTCTTGGGAAGTTAAAAGCACAGTCACAGGCTCATCCAGGATTGAAGCTGGATCTAAATTTGCCCCAGATGACTCAGGAATTTTCTCCTTGGGAGTAAATGGATCGAGCATCCTCTGCCCTCACGGGCCACAACAGCGAGTGTCCGGCAGACAGCACAGTTTCTTTGGGCACATGTCCGTCCCCCCCCCTCGGCCCAAGCATTAGAAGCACTGCACACGCAGCCCGTGCTGCAATCCTCAAAATACAGGCACGTCCCAGGAGGATGCTATTAAACAAGGGGTAGGAGAACAGCAGCACCAACTGTTCCATCTGCAGGCGTGAAAACAAAGCAAGTCAATCAAGCGACAGTATTCCCAGGAAGAGGCACACTCTGGTTTAAAAGAGGACAGACCGAGTCTGCAAAACGAGCTGCTTTTTTCCTGCTCTGCAGATCCAAACGAGCTTCCAATGTCCGAGGTGGTCCCCGCTGGAGGAAAAGACACATCTGGCAGGAGCGCATCCATGTCACGGCCATCGCCAGCTGCCCCAAAACAGCACACGGCTTCAAACCGCTGCCGCACGCCCGGAGGGGCGGGCTGGGCGTTCCGGACAAGGAGCAAAAAGCTGGAGGAAATGAAGCTTTACTAGTTCTGCTGCTCATGGAACAACTTGTTTTAATAAAGAAAAATTACTGAAGACATCCAAGAACAGCAGGTTCAGGTTTCAAAGCTCAAAATAAGTTGGGGTCAGATGCAAAAAGCAGCCTGCAGCAACACCATCTGTTCCTGGGGACAGCTTTTATTTCCTTCCATCTGAGCTAAGGAAAATGTGGGTTGGAATTTCAGCTATTTTACTTTGCTCTATTAGGCTCAAAGCCTGCATCTACTACAGATTACTGCTGGGCAAGGGGACCGTGGTAAGGCACGCGAATCTTTGCTCTAACACTCGCAGCGCTGAAGGTAGTAAATCACACCCATAATATTATATTCTGGGCTGGATCAGAAGTGTGGGCAGCAGGGAGAGGGAGGGGATTCTCCCCCTCTGCTCTGCTCTGGGGAGACCCCCCCGGAGTGCTGCGTCCAGCCGTGGAGCCCTCAACATCAGAAGGATATTGACCACTTGGAGCGAGTCCAGAGGAGGCCACGGAGATGCTCCGAGGGCTGGAGCCCCTCTGCCATGGGGACAGGCTGGGAGAGTTGGGGTGTTCAGCCTGGAGAAGGGAAGCTCCAGGGAGACCTTAGAGCCCCTTCCAGTGCCTGGGGGGCTGCAAGGAAGCTGGGGGGGACTTTTTCCAAGGGCCTGTAGTGACAGGACAAGGGGCAACGGGTTTAAATTGAAATTGGGGAGGTTTAGATTAGGTATCAGGAAGGAATTCTTCCCGCAGAGGGTGGGGAGGCACTGGGACAGGTTGCCCAGAGAAGCTGTGGATGCCCCATCCCTGGAAGTGTCCAAGGCCAGGCTGGATGAGGCTTGGAGCAACCTGGTCTAGTGGAAGGTGTCCCTGCCCATGGCAGGGAGTGGGGCTGGGTGGGCTTTAATGCCCCTTCCCACCCAAACCAGTCTGGGATTCTGGGATTCTGCGATTCTATGATAAAGGCTGCCACCTTCGACAACTTCTCAGGACACCAATTAGACCTGCTTGGCAAATTTGCTCCCTGTACCGTGTCTCAGAGAGGGTTGTACTTTACCCATCTCATTCTTTGCTGCGCTACAACCAACACGTGCTTTTACATCTGTGAAACAGAAATGACGTGCCATGACAGAGCGAAGAACTTTCAGACGTCGCGCACGTTTCTGTCAAGTCTGAGTGAGCAGGGCAACAGCCGGTCACGAGCTTGGCCTGCTAACTGCACTGAATATTACTAAATCTAGGAGTTCAGCGCCATCATCTCAGTCATTCAGCCACGGTCCTTGCAATATTGAAAAGGCTTTCCTATTTTAAGGCTAAAAATATCAATATTCTTATTCTAAATCACTAACAAAATACGTGAAACAGAAAGGATTATTTATAAAAAGCATGTTTTAAGAGGGGGGAAAAGAAAAACAAAGAGGTCTAGCAACTAGATCAAAGTCCTATCACGATGGACTATTTTTGATATTGGCATCAACTGCCTGTTTGATCACAGATCAAGCACAACTTATCAGGGTTTTGATTCCCATGAAGAAAGCACCACTAGTACTCCCGTAATTTTACAGAACTTGACATTTACTAAGTATTTAAAGGTCAGGATGTGAAAGATGCTCTAAGTGCAAAATGAAATGCCTTTGGGTTTAACAGATGAGTGTGGAGGCTTTTTTCAAAGTCACTCCATAATAAGTTTCATTTAAGGCATCTATTTCTAAACCATGTTCTTTGCCAAGTGGCTCACACCCATTAAAAAAACCCTTATTCCTAACACAAAATTAATTTTGGGGGGAAGAATGCAAGAATGAAGAAGCAAAAAATATACTACATTGGCACCGATGACCGCTTTAAAAAGGCAAATCCCTTTCCTAGAAGGCGAAGCTGAGAACATACCTGGAGCTTACAGCTGTGTAAGACTGACCACGTCATTTTTCAACAATCTGTCAGAAACAAGTGGGTTTATCCTGAAAAGGCAGCTCTCATTCAGAGCTAGCGTGTTCGTCTACTGCCACTCTGCCTAAAAACAACACCCAAGAACTCAAGTCACTTCACATTTTATGCAGACAGCAGCAAACGTGACAAGTGTTGGTACCTGTCTACTCTAATTCTTCTGCTGGGACAGATTAATATAGATAAGGACTATCAAACTAGGACAAGGACTTCTTAACTCAAACTGGGACAGAGGGAGCACAGGTTTCACTCAGCATCAATGTTTCATTTTCGGAACGGTCTTCTGAATTTTTAAAAATCCCGAAGAGGGAGAAGTGAGCTTTGTTTATATGACAATTCACATGGATAAACTCAAACACATACGTGGTGAAATTAAAACAGCGAACACAGAAGTTCAGACTCTCGGTTCAGGGAAGCGTATTGTAAAAAGCAAATGCATACCATGCAAAAAGTAATGAATTGAGAAAAAACAGCCTACTGTCATCTTCAAAGACCACAAGCAACTGAAAGGGTGAGGAGTCCTTCCAGCTCTTCCAACTGGCTCTTATTAAAACAGAAAAGGCAAACCAAAGGCAGTGAAAGAACCTCCACAGATTTCTTCCATAACTTTGACCGGCACCCAAACCACCTTCTTTTAGCATAAAAATCACTTTGTGTTCATTGACGCGGAGGGAACTGGGTTTTCCCTCTCCCAGCACAGGCAGCAGGCTCTACCTGCTCAGCTACCCTCTGGTTTCCCAGCGTGTGACAGACACCCCTGTCCCAGGAGAGGAGCAAAGCCATCAAAGCCACTCAGAAACCAGCCTCAGCTACAACGTACCTGAAACAGCCCGGATTCACACGAAGGGATGAGCAAGGGTTACCAGTGAGCACGCGCACCCGTTTCCTAAGACACCTCCTCTGCCAAATCAACACCACAAGCTGGGAAAAGGGGGCACACAAGCCCTTTACGGCGTTAGAGCTGGAAGAGAACCAACATCCCCCAGCCCCGTTTCGCAGCCAACAGCTCGCCGGGCACGGCTGACACCCCGTTTTGCGTGCGGAGCGTAAGCAGCGTGCTGGAAGACAAACCTATTTGGGGAAGGCCCTGCGCACCTAAAAGCGCCCGTGTCAGCTAAGCTCACCATCAGCTGCAGAAGCGCCCGAGTAATTTTATACGCCACAGGCTGCCCTTCTGCAGAGGGCTTTACCCTTTGGGCATCCCGCCAGCGCGTTTCAGATCCCCACCCTGCGCTGGGTGTCGCGGAGGTGAGCTGTTTGGGGCAATCCTGCCGCTTTTGGAGCTCTGGGTGTTTAGGGTTTGCCGAGCGGCGTTCAAGCAGATAGGTGCTTCGCTGGGAATGACTCAACCCTGCCAGGCTGCCACGGTTTGAATTACATTCCTATTCGGCACCGGTCCACGTGAGCGAGGGAACACCAGCTGAGCGAGAGGGGATTATCTCAGCCAGCCCAAACCAGTTTCTTCGCTGCAGACTGAGCCCATGCCAAGGTTTCCTTTCAGCCACCGAGCTGTCATGGAAAGAGAGTGCCTCTTCCAAGGAAGGGAGGGTCGGTACGGATTTATTTTAAGGATGTGAAGGGCGAAGCCACGCATCTCCTGAACGGACCCTTGACTTCTGTATCAAATAGCTTCAATTATTAGTAACGACTGGGCTGTAAAGGAGTCTGCAGCTAAAAATATTCCTATTGTTCTGCTTAAACTCACTTTGGCTTGTAACGTGTTTGAAAGATTGCCGAGTTGCTAAAGAAGGAGGAGCTGCATTACAAGCTGGAAACAAAATTTGCAAGCGGCAATCCCCAGTACTAGAGAGACCCAAAAATGAACTTTGCCTGTATAATCTTCCGTACCCTTCTGATAAACTGCTAGATTGTAAAAGCATCCAAAAAAGAAACACACAACTTGGGAACTGCCACATTCTAGACTCCAAAGGCTCAAATATTCAGCATTTTGTTACACAGCAGCAGGTACTCCCAAATACTTCGTATCCCAGACAAATAAAGCAGCTACTGGAGAAAGTTCCTCCCAAGTCCCATCAATCAGCTCTTGATTTCTGTTCTGCAGCACAAAAATTTATAACCCTCTGGAAAGCATTTTTAATCCTGCCTTATGTAACTGTGAACCTACTTGGTCACCCATATATAATCATTTAATCGTTTCTGAATCCAAACATCTCTCCAGTTTGGTAACGTTCAGAAGCCAATTCTAAACATGTTTTACAGACAATGTAGCCGACTGCTCTCAACTGCTGCCTTTAAATTACTGTAGTCAATTTGCTGCCTTTAAATTCCTTATGAAGAACAGGATCGTACTTCCAGCTTTAAGAGAAAAATTATGCCTTCTCCATACAGATCAATATGTGTTTGATCTGCCATTTGATCTCCTTTCTGAAACAGCTTCAAGCAATAAAAAAACACCCATGAACGCATTAGGAATTGTTGCTGATAGCTCTCACAATCAATTTCTGTTATTCATATAAAACTCTAGATATGTACTACCCCAAAACATACGGAGGTGTCTATGTCTGGCGTGTCTTTAGTGGCTCGTCAGGTCATATTTCTACCTTCTACCCAGGTCATGGATAGCTCCGCAGAAGCACGGTTGGTTTTTGAAGTTCCCTTGAGAAACTGTTCTTCACACAAAGAAAACAAAACAGAGAATACCACTGTATGTACTGAAGTGACTACAGCTTAATTTTATCTATTTCCAGTTAAGGTATCAGGCGAGGACAAGTTCACTGTGACTGAGAGCCTTAATTACATTCCTATGCTATCTTTATTTAGGACTCCGTTTTCCCTCCCATGTATGATGGGGATATCACCAGTGACCCAATATTCCTCTTCACCTTAAGGAAAACAAGCAAGAGCGGTGACAACAAATTCCCAAAGGCTGGGCTAACAGCGAGCAGTGAAGCTGCAGGAGCTCCCGTTCTTGTCCAACGCTCACCTCTTCGCAGACTTCTCGCACGGCGGCCACGTTGGGCTCCTCCTCGGGCTCCATGCCACCCCCAGGGACAATCCATCGGTCAGGATGACGACTGCTGCTAACCAGCAGCACCTGCAGAGAGAAACCAGAGCTGGTGGGTAAACTCAAGGCTTTCCAAAGCCCAGCTGAAGAGAATTTGTCTTTGCATCTCTCACACCTCCAATCCAAGGCAAGTCCTTGAATATACGCCACTTTTTCCAAGACACCGTGCCCCTTTCAGGCAGCTGTGCGAGCTGCATTCCCAGGGATACCAAGGCACTCCAACGCTTCCAATTATTCCAACCATTACCTTCTCGCTGCTCCGAGGTGTCGTAAATTATGCCCCTGCATACCCAAACAACCCTTTGCTATCCGATACGGCATCTCAATACTCACAGCATCAGAGTTCACTGCTCGACGCAAAGTCACGACGCAGTCTCGACAGCTTGGGACGCCCACCACGCAACAACACGAGACGGCACAGAAGGTGCTCTGCACCTTCACCCCCTGCAGAAGTCGCTTGGTTTAACTGCAGTGGGCCCTTTGGCCCTCTCCGTCTCTGCAGTTACTCTAACGACATACAGACGTCGGGTACTGCCCACCACAATACTGACGTGCAATGGTTTTCAACTCCCCGTTTGCCTGTTCTTTTGCAGCAGGCACCAGAGTTCAGCTCCCGAGCAGCACTTGGTTACCTTTTTTTTTACATGAGGTTCTTCAGTGAGATATAAGCAAACTATAAACCTTCATTAAACCGCTTAAACCCCCCAGGAACAGGCTGCAGAGAAGGACAGACTTCTTGATTTGGGAAAACGGTTCAGCCATTTTCACAGGAGTAATTTTTCATAAGCGCGTTTTGTGGCAGTTTTTCCTGAAACACACTTTATTCCAGCATCATTCCGCTGCATACAAGTTCAGTTTCCGTTCTGTCATCTCCTAGGACCAAAAAAGCTAACAAATCGCACCTAAAAAATTTCCCAAATAATATCAAGACGCTGCTATTAAATCTGTGTGCAATACATCCATGAGCAGAGCTGGAAACTAAAAACAAAACTCACACTGTTTTCCAGCTCTCTAAACAAAGCTTGTTCATTGGAGTCATCATGTTATACTTCATCATTTCCCTGGCACAAAGCTTAGAGCCAAAGCCACTTGCTCCAGAAACTTTCCAACATACCAGTCCAATTAGGTTGCAGGCCAGCTCTAAGAGCTTCAATCAGACACTCTGAAGTTAAACCGTGCGAGACACTAAAATCCCAGGCTTTACTGTGTAAATGTTGATTTACCAGTAGGATATGAAAAGCTTTGCACTAATTGTCAAGAGGAAACCTACCTACAGAATTCAAAATTAAACTTGTGAAACAAAAACAAATATAAGATTTCCAAGGTTTCCCGGTTCTTTTGTCTTTTGAAACTTCTCATCTGCCAACCACCCGCCCTGCAAAGTGATTTTTTTTGTTTTCCAGGGCTGCCCAGACCACACCAGCTCAGCAGAGGGGAAAGAGAGAGGCCCACAGACTACAGCACACCGGGGTGAGGAGACAAGGGTCGGCTGGGGGGTCCAAACCGCAGCTCTCAAACCAGGAGTAGCAAAGCTTAAGGCAGAAACCGAAGAGGGGTCACAACAGTTTTGGCAACTTTAATCTCTCCTAAATCTGGAGCTAATCTCGGTGTTCTCAAGTGTCAGCACTCCTCTAATCAGCAATTTTCTGTGGCTCATAGAATCACAGAACAGTTTGGGTGGGAAGGGGCATCAAAGCCCACCCAGTCCCACCCCCTGCCATGGGTAGGGACACCTTTCACTAGACCAGGTTGCTCCAAGCCTCATCCAGCCTGGCCTTGGACACTTCCAGGGATGGGGCATCCACAGCTTCTCTGGGCAACCTGTCCCAGTGCTCCCACCCTTTCTGGGAAGGATTACTTCCTGATGTCCCATCTCAATCTCTCTCTTTTCATTTAAACCCGTTACCCCTTGTCCTGTCACTACAAACCCTTGGAAAATGTCCCCCTCAGCTTCCCTGTAGCCCCTTCAGGCACTGGAAGGTGCTATAAGGTCTCCCCGGAGCCTTCCCTTCTCCAGGCTGAACAAGCCAAATCCTCCCACTCAATTTTCCCACCGATAATAATGTCTCAAAGCCTGTTCCTGCTTCAGCCAAAAGCCACACCTCAATCCTATAACGCATGAAGCAGCACCATTTATCAGACAACCCCATTTAAATCCCCGAGCACTGCCCGGTCTCCCTACTGAATCAAGGCAAATGCATGCCAGAAACGAACGGAGCTGAACGGGCTACCTTACTGCACTTTCCTAACAGAGATGCTTCGCCCTCTTCGGGCTTGGGCTGCAACGGAACATTTACTTTACAGCAACATCCTGCGGCGTGTGGCCCTCTTCAAGAGCAAGACAGAATTCCTTTCTCCCAAACATCCAATCCGTATAAGAGGCCACCAGTAAGCCATGCCTAAATAGGGAGTGTAAACTTCATTCATGGCCTGAGCTCTTACCACCTTACAGCTTCGTCCGGACTCCTTAGGGCTATCGCACACAGAAGAGCATGGACTGAAATTCCCAGCGGGAGGTCCGCAGGTGATTCTGAGGGCAAAGCTACCAGAAAAGTAAGACATTTCTAGCACACGTTTTCTCGCCAGGTAGGGAAGCCTCACCTTTGGCGTCTGCGATTTCAATTGAGAGCCTCAGCTCAGAGGTAAAAAACAACCTGCAGAAACGGGTCTCCGAAACCGGGCACGGCACAGCGCTCACCACTGAACTGCCACCTTCCACCCGTGAGAAAAAGGAGCTGCTCAGAAAACCCCCGCACAAAGACTTCTCCAGGAAAGCCTGCTGCACTGCTCAGCCTGAGACAATGCTTTAGCTACACACCAGTAGGAACTTTTAGGTGTAAACAACAGTTTTAGGCAAAGTAAATTAACTTCAGCTGCTCTGGCAGTGGAGAGTTTTCTGAATAGAATTAACGTGAACAACCCTCGGTGGGAAGGAAAAACCTGTCATTCTCACACTTTTATGTAATCAGACTATTTCCTGTTTAATAAAAGGAAATCCCATCAAGAGAGAGCAGGAAACATGCCCTACAAGGTCATTCTTTTAGAACAACGTTAAACAGGATATTGCTACCAATGAGCTCTCCCAAGACAAAGGGGCCTAGTTCCAACCCAGGGTGAGACACTGCTGCGTTTCAAAAACCCGCTCATCTAAACAAGTCCCGTGCCCCGACGCACTCAAAGGGATCAAGTAAAAAGGTCATTACAATCCAAATCCATATTTTCACAAGGCAACGGCATTCAAATATTTTACAAACTGCCCCAAAGCCAGCAAAATGAGCTGTGCTGAAAAACCACCCCGTTCCGAAAACCATTAATACTTGGGTGGAACATCCCAAATGCTGTTTCCCAGGTAAGAAATATATTCCCCAGCACAAACCTTTTCACTCCCTGACGGCCGGGTGGGAGAACATAAAACACCCGGGGAAGCGCAGATCCCAGCTGAGGGGGTTGAGAAGAGCCGTGAGGGTTTGTGTTTCTGCCCTAACAGGGTCAGATTTATTTTCTAAGTTTCAGGACAAACGAGATCTGGCAGAAGGCAAAACAGCCAAGACAGAGAACGGCGACTGTACCTCAGTTTTGCGACATAACGTGACCAAAACAATGTTATTCAGTCTGTACATTTTGCAATACAACTGAATTCTAGAAAATAAAGAGTACAGGTCCGTTTTTTAAAGGATCACTTGGTAGCTCCTCTATCCTTGAAACCTAAATTTTTGGTTCATTATCTTACTTTGTTCATTAACTTTTTACTACATAAAAATATTCACTTGAACATAGACTAAAAAAGACATTTTAATCAAAACCAGCCATTAAAAATACATTAAAAATATTTCATTTTTTCAAAATCATGCCAAAACACAACAGAAGGTTGACATTTCCATCTTGCTCTTGCCGGGCAGCTTGCGTTTGAGGTGGCTACTGAGACTCTTGGCCAACGAGGGAGCGGATTTTGGAGCCAAGTCTTACAGTCTTTTTGGCCAAACATTTGCAGGTAGGACATCACATAGCTAAGTTCTGTTTTCCAGGATCTGAAAGGGACTTATGTCATTTCAAAGCAGGGAAATGAGCAACACAAGCCCTCTGGCAATGCAGAAGGCGGCTCTGAAGTAGCTCTCACACACAATCAGTGAAATAAGAGAAAGGTTAGAAAAATAAGCAAAGTTTGAAGTCTACAGCTGGGGCTCCTGAACAGTGCTCACCATGAGGGCTACAGTCTACCAACCTTCAAAGCAGCATGCAAACAAAAAATCCAAACAAATCGGGAGCAGCCTACCAACTTTCCCCCCCGGAGGAGACAGGAAATGTGCAGAGACATCTAAGGCTGCCTGGACCAAAACACGCGGAGCAAGGAGCTCCATGGGAAAAGGGGAAAAGAGTTCGTCACCGGGATAAATCTGGAGTCCCTGATACACGGGGCCGACCTTAAAACAACCTAATTACACACAAATCTGCTGTCTTCGCATCAGGAGGTTTTTTCTTCCCCAGAAATAATGATGCTCTGCAAACCAAAAATAAGGCAGAGAATAAATTCCCGGTTAAAAGAGCAGAGATTGAGGGATTCTCGGGTTCTTTAAACAACCACCACCCATAAATAAAACAAGAGTAGCTACACTGTAAGGAACATGATTCCTAGAAAGAGGCTCCACAGAAGCTGTGCAGCGAAGACGAAAAGGGCTACAGCGTTATGAGAAGCTGGGCTACAACATTATTAGAAAATGAGCTGTGAACCTTCCAGGAAAAGACAGTCCTACCCACGCGCGCCAGCCTAGGGACAATCACGCTGACAGACTCGGTGAGAAACAGCAGACAAGATGTTAAATACGCGGGGTTTGGCCAAGCCAGCATTCTGCTGCCAGAAGCCAATCTATAGCTGCTGGCTACTGAAACAGCCTCTCCACTCCCTTCCGTGTTTTATACCAACACTAAGCCCCAAAATTGTGTATTTTGTGCAGCGACTATGGCACAAACCTCCCAAGATTTAAACGCATTTCACACTTCAGGCTTATTTATCAGAACACGGACGGCAAGAA